ACAGAAAAGTTGTAATTTTTGGGAAGAGAGGATGGAAACAACTGGAATTTTGCGAAGCTCTGTGCTTCTGGTTTTGGTCAGGTAGAGGGAAGACAATGAGGGAGAGGAAGAGAGATAAAATATTAAGTTTAATCGTAATTTTTAATATTTTTATTGTGTTAGTTGAGGGTCCCATCTGGAGTATTGATTTTTTAGAGAAGAAGTTAAGAGTCGAAGGCCGATAGCATTTCCCAAGTTCCATATTAATGTAATATTTATATTATTCTGACTAGACAATTTAGTGAATTAATTGTTTTTTATTTGTAAACAAATAATTGCTTACAAATAACAAAAATAATTGTTTACAATAACTATAAATATTATTGTAAAATGTATATTATAAATATTTTTAATTTATATTTTTAACGAATTAAGAACGAATCAAACTGAATATCGTACTGTCTATGTGCACCCTCTGACGAATGATACTTTAGGTTATTATCGAATTCCGTACCCGAATTGAACCACGAACTCAAACCAAACCCGTATCTGGCAACTATGGTACAAACGATAGAAGAACATAGTATTCAAACTGTGTCACAGATTACAACCAAAAACTATAGGCCAGCCACTTGCTCCTGCTTTTACACAGGAGGGCTCTCCAATGTCCCTATATAATGGTAAAAGGTAAAAAGTAAAAGTGTAGGCTCCTCCCCTACTCCTAGTATTCACAATATTTGGCAGCAACGTCACAATATTATTCAAATTTGTTCGGTTGGGTTCCATAAAGAGGTAAAGGAAATAGGCAAGGAAAGCAGATCCTTCTTTTAGGTTACTCAACCAATGAACCAAACATGAAGAACAAATAAGGAATCACCTTTCTTGCTTTCTTCCTTTCCCTTTTAACTTTTTAACCTTTACCTCTTTCTTTCTGTATCCTTTCTCTGATCCAGAGGAAGCGTAAAGACATTTTCATTTGCAGGGGTTACACTTACATGAAGCAACCCCACCTCATAATTTCATGTCAAACTCATTTAATTTACCTCCAATGCTGAGAAAATCAAATTAATTATAAGAGTCTAAGGTCTAATCGCAACTTCTTGCTAGCTAATTAAGCATAATCACAACCCATTTACTATGTGTGACATTTGTTCGTCAAAGACTGATCATAACTAATTTGTAATTAGAAAACTCTAACCTACCCAACGACAAAAGTAGAAATTACAACAGACTAAGATGAACTCGAAGACGGTGTTCGTCGGAGATGAGGCAAGAGCCTTATGCATTGAGCCATTGACATCGACCAACACATGACGGGTGTGATCATGCGAGGCAGTACCATGGTTGAAGATGGTCAGGAAAGTTTAAGGATAAAGAGCGCCCATAGTATAAAGCATAGAAGGGTAAAGTACCTAGAAGAAAGTGAGACGTGAGAACTACATATTCCCAAAGGAAGTTACTAGTTGATCAAGTCAGTTCTTTGAGTGACCCTAAAAACTACCAAGCTTACATGGTGCACAAGCTGAATAGCTAATGAGTTAACTACGTCCTTTGGTTGGGGCGTGCTAACTCGACGACCAAGCTCGGTCGATGAGTGAATGAATATGGCAGTGGTGGTGTCGAACGCGCTGCTAACATTTATGTATTGCGATTGCGCGAGTAAGGAACTTGTCTCTGCCCTTGGGTTCTAGAGCCTGAAGACAAGGTTATTAGTTTCTTCGAAGTTTCAGAATCATTGGTGTCGGGCTCGGCCGTTGTAATTATATTTGTGCAAATACAAGTGCACTGACCAGACTGTACAGACACAAATACTCAAAAGAGATAAGTGTCTTGATTGTCAATGTGGTTCAACAGTCAAGACGCCGAACTCTAAAATGTACTTATTAGTATCCAATCATAAAATAAGTTCGGCTTTCAATGTGCTAGACAATGTAACCTGGTAATACCTCACTTCGTCGAGAAGGCTAATGAAGTGACCTCTTCCAACAAGGACTCAGAGATTCCTTGCAAACCGAGACTTGAATAAATAACCAGTCGGTCTCAAAGCAGTGTTGTTAAGACTAACTAAAGGTGCTCCTCGATAGCCTGATTCTACGACTCCATAAGGCTAACTGAAGGTGTCACCAGTTGCCAACCACAATGTTGTTAAGACTAATTGAAGATGTGTTTGACGAAGTTAGGAAGGTCATTGTTTTCTCAGGGATAATAGGGTTTCGCGTAGAATGAGAGTTTGTGCAGAGCAGATTTGTGTGTTGATATGAAAAGACCTTGAACATTGCACACCCTCTACTATTTATGATAGCTTTTTGTGCCGAGGTAGAGTCCTATTCAGATTAAATTTCCTCGGCATATCTTGAAAGAACATATCTTCCTGTACGAATTGTACTCAACCACTCCTACCAGGCATGGGACTTTGAAACCTTTCATCATTTGGTATCCAATTTGTTTCCTTGTTTTAACTAAACCCTTAGAATATTAAGAATATTCTCCCATCCTGACTTACTAGGATTCCTAATTGAACCAGGACTTAGCCGAATCCATTCTTAATATTCAATTCAAGTGTCCTTTATCAATTCAAACTCGGCTAAAGTACTTTGGGCTGGACCAAAGCATGTCTAACCATGGGCCATCTTATGACCTTACTCGGCCAAAATTCTTTCATTTGGGCCCAAGCACATGCACATTGCTGTGTTGCAATGTCATGCACATAATTTACCAACCGGAAAAGAAAAACTAGATTGTTGCAAGGCCATCTCTCTATACCCAAGGGCTATAGGCCATTTTCTCAAGTCAAGGGCCAAAATGAATCTACTAAAAAGAATAAGGGCTAAATTTAGTCAATGGCTGGATACATATAGCAAGCTCTGAAACTTCTTAGTGGGCCCTAACATATGCATCCCAAATTAAGATGAAAAGATTTAGACCTGTATTGGCCAGACACAGAAAATTTTAGCCCTGCAATATTTATTAAAATATTAATTTTTTGAAGGGCTAAACTATGTTTTGCACTCCATGGTTGGAGATGGCATGAGGGAAGTTATTTCCCTACACTCCCTTTTGATCTTATGCATTTCTTCATTAATTATGTCCATTGATTCACCTATCCGTTGGTCCACCCATTGACTAGAAATAATAATAATAAAAAAAAAACGGAGTGAAAGAGGCCAAAATGGGAGTTTAGAAATCACTCTCTTTGTAATCCAAAACTACATCGAGAACCAAAACTACTGATGAAGGAGTAGAATAGTGTTTTTTATTTTAATTTTAGTGCTTATTTAATAATGAGATTTGAATTAGAAGTTTTTTTTTATTATTATTATGAACGGTTTACTTAAATATGTACTTAATGTTTATTTTGAATAAAATTAATGCATTTTAATAAGTATTTATATTAATTAATTATGCACAAATGGTTTAATGAAATAAGTTCTTCATTTATTAAGTATTTATGTGGTTTGAAAAACAATTAAAAAATGAATTAAAAAAAAAGGTAATGCGTGACTAAGCAAGTGTTATAAAAAAATGCGGCAAAGCGTAGTTGAATGGCGCCAAAAGTAGAAGCGCCATGTTTTGCACGATGGTGCTTTCGTCGCCCAAAGTCTTTACACTTTACTGAATTTAACTAGAATGCAGGAAGGCAAAAGCTGCAAAACAATTGCAATAGCTGCCTTCCTGCTGGAATTTCCAGCCGTTTGAGTTGTGTTGCCGTTAATCTCGGAGGTATATTTTCTTAACTAATTTATTTAATTTCCATTTATTTAAATTGTGTTGTATGTGGTTTATAATTGTTGTGAGTTTATGTATTTGTATGCAAACATTTTTGTATGGATGTACAAAAAAATGGTTCACAATGTTCATATGAGCTTAGTTTCTCGTTTAAGAATTAGTTGGATTTCGCGAATGGATATGAAAGCATGACTGCGGTCTAATTAATTCTTGAATTGTCCCAAAATTTTGGACAGTTTGAGAATGCACAATTACATGTTGTATTTTTCGGTTCACGCATTAGAGTTTGAACGTGGGAAATTTGGTAGCATCTCTTTGCGTTCTTCAGGTGCATTGTAGTTTTTTGTGTCTACGTCGTGCACTTGAAGAACTGCAAGGATATTCTACTGAAATTTTCCCACGATCAAACTCTAATGTGTTGGAACCATAAATTACAGCACGTAACTGTGGATTCTCGAATGAGATAAGACCCATACCGGAGGCTAAGGTGGCATGTCATAATTGAAGTTGTTGATACATAATTGAAGTTCTCGAACTTGTAACCCTTGTAATTTTTTTATGTTTGCAGATCATATGGACAAGTAGTAGATACATAATCCTAACAAATGTGCTAATGATTATTTGGATGGAATAAATCAGTTCATTGATTTTGCAATTGCAAACAACCGGGGTTCAACTCAAATTCGGTGTCCTTGTAGAAAGTGTGACAACTTAATGATTGAATATTTTGAAACTGTTGGATACCATTTAGTTAGAAATGGGATGATGAAGACCTATACTATATGGAATCATCTTGGAGAACCAAATACAACATGCTTCATCATCACACATTACCTGAGCAGTAGAGATAGTTGAATCTGTTGTGGATAGGGGTGGGCGCGGTGCGGTTTGGTGCGGTTTTGAGTGAAACCACAATCGAAATCGAAACTTTTTGCGGTGCGGTGCGGTTTTGAAGCCAAAACCGAAATGAAACCAAACTGTTTGGTTCGGTTTGGTTCGGTTCGGTGCGGTTTCAAACGGTTTCGGTTTGGTTTTTGAGAAAAAAATGTACAATTTAAAATATACACATATTTATGTATAAGATGGTCTTATTTTCCTTGTATATTAATTAATGAATATGCACCAAAATTGCACCAAAAACTGCACCAAACCTGCAGCAAAACAACACCAAGAAACTGTACCAAACCTGCAGCAAAAAACTGCACTGAAACTGCAGCAAAAAATTGCACAAAACTGCACAAAAAACAGCAGCTAAACAACACCAAATCTGCACAAAACTGCACAAAAAATAGCAGCTAAACTGCAGCAAAAATTACACCACAACTGCACCAAAATTGCACCAAAAAACTGCACAAAACTGCACCAAAAAACTGCACAAAAACGCATCACATAATTCACATCTACTAAAATTCAACTTGATCACCAATCAATCACAATAGTTTACTACAACCCAATTGAAAAGTTAAGTTTGCCATAATACAACTAAAGTTCAAACTTCAAAGTTTCAAACAAAGTTCAATGTCAAATGCCTTATGGCATTAGTACAACAAAAAAAATAAATGGTTCATGAAATTCAACAAAATCTTGGTTTTCAACTTACTTTGCATCGTTCAAGTTTCAAACCTTTACCTTTCCTTTTCCTTTTGGACACTTATTGTTTGAAGGTTTAGGAGGCCTTTGAGCTTGTGAAGACCTTGCACTTTGTAAACGCATAAGGGGAGGCTCTTGTGAATTAGAACCTTCAGATTGCTTTGGAGCTTGTTGTGGTTCTTGATCAAGAGTAAGAGAGGCAATGCTTGAAGTCGATTTGGCCAATTCTACACAATACAAAACATAAAAAATATAATTGATGTTTAGTTGAAAAAAGAAAACAAAGAAAGTTCTTTTATTTCAATTGATATACTTACCGGATTCAATACTTTCATAGAACTCAATGTGGTCAATTGAAGGTGCATCATCCTCCAAAGTAATAATATTATCACCCCTCAACCAATTTTGCATGCATATCAAGGCCTCCACCAATTTAGGAGTTAAAGAACTCCTAAAATCCGAAATCACTCGACCACCGGTGCTAAAAGCACTTTCCGATGCCACGGTCGAAACATGAATTGCAAGAATATCTTTTGCAATTGCGGCCAAGATAGGATACTTGTTACCATTCACCTTCCACCATAGGAGAATGTTAAAATATTTTGTGGACTCCTATTTTAATTTGTACCAAGGGATCAAACAAATAAGAATCCACCTCATCTCCCACCACTTTCTCATCACTATCTTCAACAAAATGCATCCATTCATCAATTAGATCATCTTCCGTCATAGCCATATTAGATGAGGTAGAAGAAGGTTGTGATTGTAAACTTTCCGATTTCTTCATGTATTTTCCACCTTCAACATTAGGAACATATTCATCATAAAGGGCACGCAATATATTTTTTATTTCTTCAGTTTTCAATTGTGCCTCAATGTCGGAAAGTTTCTTTCTAAAGAGTTGTGTGACATGCCTCAACTTGAACCTCGGATCTAAAACAAGTCCAATCACAATAAGAGGGTTCAATTCATGGTATGAGTCAAAATATTTTTTCATATTTTGATCTCATATCGGATGCCATTGCCTTCAATAATTGCTCCGACAGTAAACCCACTTGCATGTTGGCTCGGGATTCCAAGTTATTGATGGCGGTCTCCACTTTTATGACATCATGGAGGCCGGTATGAACTGTGGGATGTGTAGAAGCACTCACCCTCAAAGTCACATCATAAAACACCCGTAAAAACTTGACAAAAACCTCCGCCTTGGACCAATCTTCTTCCGTTGGTGGTCCAACCCTTTTCCTCCCCTTGGTTTGGCAAACAATAATTACACCATCTTCATCTTTTTCATCTTCAACTTCCTTAAAGTAAGCCAAAAAGGGACTTGCTTCATCCTCCGCCATTGTAGCAAAGGCCTTCTTAAATTTCAAGGCTACATCCAACATAACAAATGTAGAATTCCACCGAGTAGGGCAATCAAGGCAAACTGTTGCTTTGCATGTCAATTTCACCCTATTCACGGCTTGCCTAAAAAGCTCCAATCTTTGTGGAGAGCTCCTCACGAACCTCACACAATTTCTTATAGCTAATAAACCATTATTTAGCCTCTTCATCCCATGACTCACAATTATGTTGGTTATGTGAGCGATGCATCTCACATGTAAATACTTGCCACCTAGAATAGCTTGTGAATTTTCCCACCTATTCATTTTCGTCATAAGTTGATCCAAAGCAACTTTATTGGCGGAAGCATTGTCCACTGTGATTGTCATAACTTTGTCTATCCCCCATTCCAACAAGCAACTTTCAATTAACTTTGCTATTGTGGTTCCATAGTGGTTAGGAATAACACAAAAGTTTATGATCCTCTTATGCATATTCCATTCATGATCAATAAAATGTGAAGTAAGAACCATATAATTGGTGTTTTGTGTGCTTGTCCAAGTGTCGGTAGTGAGACAAATTCTATGGGCACTTAAGGTTTTCTTCAAATAAGCTTTTGATTCATGAGACATGTTGAGAAAAGTTCTCACAAGAGTTCTTCTAGAAGGCACTTTAAACAATGGAATACCAACAGCACAAAAAAGCCGAAACCCCATCTAATCAACTGTACTAAATGGCATCTCATCTATGACTACCATCTTGACACATGCTTCTAACACACTCTCTTGTGAAAATCCAACAGCTACCAGATTGTTACCTTTACTTTTATCCCCAACCAAAACTTTTTGCTTTTTACTTCTATTCCCTTGGTAAAATTGACAATATCTTTCAATGTGGTGTCTCATGCTTGTGGTGCCATTAACTCTTGGTTCAGCTGCATAATCACCTACACTGTTCTGTTTTGGGCAATAATTACATTTAGCTCTCCTAAGTTTTACTTCGGCCAAATATTTCTCTCCCTTTTCATTGATTTTCGACTGTTTTTTCGTCACATAATATGTTGTAAAATGATCCCAAACCCAACTACGTTTTCTTGAATCAGAGTTACTTACTTTTTCATCTTCGCCCTCAGATTCAAAGTCACCTTCAACGTCTATTTCATTTTCCGAGTCAATTTCTATTGCCTCGTCCTCCGGCTTCTCAGGGGAGTCCCCCGTAGAAGAGTAACCAATCCCACTATGCTTGCTGGATTCTTCATATCTTGACTGAAATAAAATACGAAAGAAGAACATAGATAGATATTAGGATTTTATACTAAGAAAATAGATAGATATTAGGTTTTTAAATTGACTTTGTACTTCACATTTCTATTATACTGTAGCAGTAATCAATACAATTGGATATGTAATAGCTGAATAAATAGGGAGGAAGGCAAAATGACGCGATACGCACCATAGTTTGAAGTTCATCGGTTGAGAACGGGTTACAGTAGTGGTCCATGTTGGTTAAGAATGGATTAGAAGATGGATCTGAATAACCATCTTGGTTAAGACGCTGTCAAGTGCCAATTGGTGACCATGTTGGAAATAATAAGATTCTCTATTAATTTTCTTCTTGGTGTTGGCAGCAGTAATCAAACTTAAGCCCCAAACAAATCCCTTATGCTTGCTTCCCCTTTGACAACACTAAATTCTCAGCATTTCCAACCCCACAAAGGCTGTCAACAAGACACGGCTCATATACTAACTCTGATAGAGGAGACAACTTGAAGGCTAGCAATCCTTATCTCTGTGAAGGACCGTAATTTAGCAAGACAGCAAAGAAAAACATTTTGAAGCAATACAAGTCTCAACAGAGATATCAAACAAAAAGAAAGCATCAAACGAAGAAAATTAAGAGAGGTGAGGGTACCTATGCCATGCTGCCTGTGATAATCAAACATCAAAGTTTCAGCAACTCGCTTTCCCTCGTCATAGCAACTCCTAACTCCTGTTTATGTTTCCAAACACAAAACCAATTAACATGTGCCACAAGTTGGTGCAAATGAAATGTTGACATTCTGAAAGATGTTTAAATTTTTTGGTTAGAGGGCAATGAGAAACCATATATAACATTATGTCACAATATAGATTGGATTACAATTAAAGAGATGGAATTTTAATAGACAACGCCCAGACAAAGAGAGAACAGATTTTCAAAAATGAAAACCGTACTAGGTCACTTGTGACCACATAACTTCATCTAACAACAAACCCAAACCTGCCTAACATTCGAATTAATCTAACAACAACATATATGAAATTGAAGACAGAGGATGAGAAATTTTTACCTCTGCTCTGGGTGTGTCGACTCCAAGATTGGAGGCAAGGCAGAGATGAAAGCAGTGACTCGCAGAGGTAGATGCAGGCAGGCAGAAGTAGATGCAGAAGCAGTCGCTCGCAGGCGGAGATGCAAGGAGGCGCAGACAGTCGCAAACCCACTCGGTGTCGGTGCAAACCCAGAAGTTCTAGCGGCGCAAAACCAAATGTATAAGTTTTCTGTATAACCTAGTTGAATAATGAACTAAATAAAAATAAAAAAGTGCGGTTTCGGTTTCGGTGCGGTTTTGAAAACCCAAAACCGAAACCAAACCGTTTTGTGTGCCGCGGTTCGGTTTTGAAACCGAAACCGTTTCAAAACCGCAAAACCAAACCGTTTGGTGCGGTTTGATTCGATTCGTGTTTTGGTTTCGGTTTTCGGTTCCAAGTGCCCACCCCTAGTTGTGGACTTAAATGAACAAATTATGGACATTATTCTAAACGTTATTTCGAATACGCATGAGGAAGTAGAAGATGACGTCTCTCCCACCGTGGACAATGAAGCATTTGAAAAATATGAAAAACTATTAAAAAGTGCCAAGCAAGAATTATACCCTGGTTGGGAAGGATTTTCGGTGCTCACGGCCGTTGTTGAGTTGATGCATGGCAAAATAAAGTTTCGTATATCGAATCAGTGTTTTGATTACTTTTTGGGGGTTTTCAAGAGGATGTTTCCCAAGGAAAATTGTCTGCCTAAGGATCATAAAAGTGCAAAGAAGATGCTGAGTGGTCTTGGACTGAGATATGAAAAAATTCACCCGTGTAAAAATAATTGCATTTTGTTCTACAAAGAGAATAAAGCGTTAGATATATGCCCTGTATGTAATGAGTCGCAATTTAAAATGACCTTTCAGAATAGAACAATGAAGATTCCACAAAAACGATATGCGTTATCTCCCATTAGAGCCCAGGTTGCAGCGATTGTATATGTCGACGCACACTGCAAGCGACATGAGGTGGCAGAAGGACGAATGAGTGGATGACAATGTTATGAGACATCTTGCATATAGAGAGGCATGGAAAGAGTTTGATCGGCTGTACCTCGATTTTATACGTGAGTCCCGGAACGTTAGATTGAGACTTAGACAAATGGGTTTAACCATTTAGGGTGCTAAACCAAAACCACAACACTTGGTCAATCTTCGCAATTCTGAATAATTTTCCGCCTTGGAAGTGCATGAAAAAAGAATATATGATGATGACATTGTTGATAACTAAAGATTCGGCACATCTATTAATGTTTATTTACAATCGTTAGTCGATGAACTAATAGAATTCTAGGAAAACAGTGTTCCCACGTACGATAAATCTACTGGGAAGATGTTCACTTTGAGAGCAGCAGTGATGTGGACTATAAACGATTTTCCTGCGTATGCTATGATGTCTGGGTTGAGCACTAAGGGTTATTACACATGCTTAGTTTGCAAAGAGAACACAATGTTTGGTTGGCACGCAGGAAAAGTTTGTTACCTACGGCGTTGTAGATGGTTGCCGTGGGACCACGAGTGGCGTCAGAATGAAACAGCCTTCTTTAACGGCCAAGACCTAGAGAATGGTCCAGATGAAATTTTGGCTTAGGTGAATCGTTTGGATATTGTTCCGTTGAGAAAATATGTAAATAGGACAAGACACACATATGAAATAGACACACCAGATGAGGTTGTTTAAGCTTCTGTACTGGTCCAATTTAAAATTGAACACAACATCGATGTAATGCATGTTGAGAAAAATGTATTTAAACAAATATTTCCTCATGATTTCTTCACAAGCATGATCCATGTCATGATTCACTTGCCGGAAGAGGCACTTCTAGCCGGACCCATCAACTATCGATGGATGTATCCAATAGAAAGGTATTTAATCGCCATAAATACTTTAGTTCGTGATGTATGTACGATTTGACTAATTTTACACATTATCTGTTTATTGATGCATACTACTGGGTGAATTAAAAAAAAAGTGTACGAAACAGGGCAAAGCCCGAAGGATCAATCGTGGAGGCATAGGTCGCATTTAAGTCGCTTACATTTTGTGCAATGTACCTACAAGACGTTGAGACTACTTTCAACTAACAACAATGCAATAATGACGGTGGTGTGAGAAGTGAAAAACTTTATGTTTTTGCCCAAATTGCACGACCCTTTCGCGAACCAATCAGAGGGGAGTCGTTTAACAAAATAGACATTGAGGTAGCACATTGGTTTGCACTTAAAAATTGTGATGAGACAATTACCGACCTAGATGAGCATGAAGAGTTGATGAAGCGGGAACATCCTTCACATTTATATGCCAAGAAGCACCGTGAATTGTTTCCTCGTTGGTTTCGTGAAAATATAAGTGGTTCCTGTTTTGGGTTATTTGCATAATTGTAAATGGTAAACTAACACGTCAACTTTTTAGCATAATTTAGGTGAAGAAATTGAAGGACATGAATTCGCCCACTTACATTGAAGAATTGTACAACTTGGCTATTGGGTCCCTAAGCGAAAAATTTTACTCTGGTTGTCATGTAAATGACATCAAGTTTTTTACAGCTGATCGCGATGACAAGCTGTGTATGCAAAATAGTGGGTACATGTCCTGGGTGCGAGCGACATGACATTGATTTCTATGGAAAACTGACAAGTGTTGTGCAATTGCTTTACAAAGACTATTGTCGAGTTATCCTGTTTAAGTGTCGCTAGTTTGATACAAACCCACGTAGGGTTGGAGGTGTTAAGTGAGACGATGGTTTGCTATCGGTTAACACTAACAGATATTGGTATAACGATGACCCCTACATTTTGGCAACGATGGCTAAACAAATTTTCTATATAGATGGCCCTAAGGGCGGGAGGGGATGAAAAGTAGTTTAAAAGATTAAGCACAGAGGGCTGTATGATATTTCGGACCGAGATCCTGCTAATGTGGACGATTATGATGACGCTGCTGACCAACAACTGGAGACTTCAACGAAACTTGGTGCAGATACACTGTGGGATATGACTATTGTACAAGAACCTTATCAGGTTGCCGGAAGTCCTGAAATTGAAATACCGATTGACTCCATTATGATTGACCACGGGGATTTACCACAATACAATGCACCTGAGTGCTCGAACGACGATGTTGACGTGCCTACAGACGAGGAGGAATGGAAGTCTGAATCTGACGAAAGTGATGATATTTATTCTAGTTCAGACGAGGATTAATTAGAACTTGTGATGTAAATGTAATGATATTTATTGAATGGTATTTATTTTGTATACAAACAAAAATTTCCTTTAAAATTTGTAAAAAATTAATGAAACAAAAAAAATATTTATTTATTTAAACAGAAAAATAAATTAAATTTACAAATATGCATGACGACGTTTTGGAAATGTTAGTCGTGCAAATATTTAAAACTTGGTTTTTTATTTAAAAACTGGTCGCGCAATGAAAATTAGAACACCCTCGTCATGCAAACATATCAAAATTTGATTTTATTTTCCAAAATTGGGCGCACATTTATTTTGGCGCCTTCACTCTTCTCTCTATCTCTCTCTCATTCTCTACATGCGAAGCTCAATCTTATCTCTCTCTCGATTCTATCCGAACTCACTTTCCTCTCTCTCTCTCTCTCTCTATTCTCTCTAGCTCTTGCTCTCATCACTCACTATCTCAGTCTTTCCCTCTCTCACTCTCTTGCTCTCTCTGTTTCTTAGTCTCTCTGCCACTCTCCCTCTCGCATCCGCCGCACTCCGACGTCATACCATCTCACCGTCGTTGCAACATTACTAGGTAAGCACCCAGTATCCCTTGATTCACTATCTCTTAATTCAATTATTTATTAGTGCAATTTTTCATTTTTTCTGTTGAATTGTTTTAATTAGAACATTTAGGGATTTAGGGTTCGAATTGAGAATCCTTGGTTAGGATTTAGGGTTCGAATTGGGAATCTTGGGTTTTGGTTTTCGAATTGAGAATATTGGGGTATGGTTTTCTATTTGGGTGATGGTTTTCTGATTGGGTAGGATGCAGGGTAAATCTAGTTGCTTTATATGGAAGTAGGTCTAATATGTAAAATTATATGGAGTTTATATATATGTACATGATATAGCGTCAAGTTCAGACCTTTCTCTTGTTAATGGTATTAATTGATTAGTAGTTCCATATATGTCATTTAGATGACACTTGAATAAGCACTCAGTGAACTTGGAAATTATTAGGAATCACACCTTCTCTTTGTTATACACGAAACTACCATCTACAGCCTTGAAATTCAAATATTTAGTAACGTCAGTGTGAATGAATCATCCATTGAAGTTGAGAGAAATAGAAGGTTGCAATTTTTTCATCCAGCTTATGAGTCACTTGTATCCTTACTAAGTTCTATTTCTTAGAAGCTTTAAAAATTGTAATTCATGGTATCAGTTTCAAACACTTATTGATAATATCTGAATGTAAAATGTAATAATACCATCATATGTTAAATTGTTTTCATGATAATTAAGTGAAAATATGCACAGAGGTTGTAAAGAATCATATTATTAGAACGACATGGAGAAAAAACCAAAAATAAACCTAGTACTTAAGGACTCATTCGTCAGTTGGGATGGATGCAAGTATTAAGTTCTTTGTGTTTACTACCACACAGTATTCATAAGTTTCTCATTACTTGAACACACTAGGATTAGATTTATTTCCATTTCCATTCCCCAATTCATGACTTTTCTCGTTCCAAGTAAGAAAGCATGCCATCAAAAACATGTAAAGAGTTAAAGTACAAGATACACATGTATGCTACCCTTTATTGATTTGAAGATGCCCAAAATTGACCATTTATGAACAATATACACGGCCTTGAATGAAAAGTCCCACTACAATCCCACGACGTGCGCGCACACACACATATATTCATCCTTACCTTCATCCAGAATAAGTACATGTGTGCCATCTTCCATCATTCATCGATTCCTTGCAAGTTGCATGGCATGTTCCATAAGCATGATGGGGAAGGTGGCAGTGCCCCTTCTTCTTTTTTCTCTCGTATGGTTGATGTTGTTTCGGATCCTAGGACTCATGTCAACTAAGAATCTATCCAAACTAGATTAACTAATTAATCTAAGGGTGAAAAGATATATTTTATTTTGCTTCAAGGTTAGGATATTTTTTAGTATATCCAAACCAGATTAATTAGTTAATACTAATCATTATCGACTTCCTATAGATATCAGTCTCTAATTTTCTATCTAATGGTAAATCTCATGTATTCATGATTTCTGCCACTTTTCTTAGCCTTAATCTGTTTGATCTAGCTTCCTGGCTATTAATAAGTCAAAGTAGTGGAATGTAACTTTTTTATTTATTGTTTTTGTAGATGTTGAACTTAATTTCAAACCGCCGGACAGCTAGTAAGGTCAGTCAGACACCTTCTCCAGTAGGTAGTGCTGCTACCACCTCCCCACTTGATATGGGAACGACGGGTGTCCCTCTAGTTACGCCTTTCAATCCAACATTGTCTATGGCTCATGTGTCATTGACTTATTCGGTGATGCATCTTGTACTAAGCGCCCGACGGACTCATCAACGGCCATGGAGTTTTGAGGAGGCTAAGTAGTCTGGTGAGGCTTCCTCTGTCCAT